AAAAAAATCATTGTTTTTTTTATTCGAAAAAAAATCATTGTTTGTTTCTATGGAACTATTGATAAAAATAAAGTATTAAAAACTAAATAAAAGAAAAAAATTTTCAAACCGGTCAACAATTCAGCATTATAATTATACTACTACCTGTCATCTTTAAGAGAGAGAGAGTGTGCGGGGCCTGCGGACGAGTGCTGGGGGGCGAGTGTTCCTAGCATTACTCTAGTGTGTAATTGCCCGAATGAAAAAGCGAAGACTGTGATGATTATTCAAAGATACTGCTAGACATTGCATTGGTTGACCTGAAAGACTTCGACTTTTCAACTTCTTTGCATCAATTCACTCTGGTAATAATAGTTCATATTCTTGAACCAATGAACCAGCTTAATATATCTAATGATTAATCATTAAATTTAGAATTTAAAATTTAAAATTTAAATAACTGAGAGTTTTATTTTTACTAATTATTTGAAAAAAAATTCTCTTTCCCGAAATTTTCCTTGTTCAAGAAAAAAGAAATCTTGAACCAATGGGGATGAGAAACGGGAGAGATAGATGGGTGAATTTAGAGAATGTGAGAATGCAATTGCCTTAATGAAGAAGCAAGTGAATCTTTTTTTTTTTTTTTTTGAACATAGAAAAATTAAGAGAAAGAGATTGAAAAGAGTAAAATTCGAAATCTCAAAGATATTTTTAGTAATTAATAGATGATTACTCATACCATTTAGGACTTCACAAGTAAAGCTCGTTCGAAGAAAGTTAATGAGAGGAAATTCCGTGCATTTGGTTGACTTAAAGACTTTAGCATTTCAACATCTTTGCATCAATTTATTATTAATTCCATTGAAAAGAACTCTTCTACTGTATATAGTGGAAGGAACACCGGAGTATGAAAATTAGAACAGGAAGAAGACAAACTGATGGGAATACAAGTAGTCATTCCTCGTACGCTTCGGGAAAAAGCAGGCGTGGAAAATGGGATTGCTTTACGCGCTTTGCGTCCCATCCACGTAGATTTAAGTTTTCTCCTTGA